AAAATACATACCATTTATACTATGAACAAAACTTTAAGTTCCTTAGGAACAAATATACCAAAGTTTTGTTAGATTTCTACGGAGAAAATTATTTTAAAAATTTAATGGAAACGTCTACCTTAATTTAACAGGGAACATTTAACATGTTGATGATCTGGATTATTTAATATTGTAAAGATATAAATTCTACACAAATTGATACATAGATTCAAAATCATCCAGACCATTTTCCCAATTGATAACTGAGAAATGTAAGTGATACTAAAACCTAAGTGGAATAACAAAAAGCCAAGAATGCTTGAGGCAGTCTAGATGAAGAAAATAAAAAGGAACATCCAACTAGTTATCAAGACTTTCTATAAAGCTGTACTAATTAAGACATTTGTTATTGGTGCAGGAATAAATAAATCTATGAGAAGAATGCAAAAAAGATCCAGAAATGTATCCACATCCTTGGAAATTTGATTTATGACAGAGATGGCACTAGCCTCACCTGACAGTTATCACACACAGAAGGCAGGGAATAATATTAATTCCACACCATCCCCTGGCACCTGCAGTTACCAAGAGTCACACCATAGCTAATGATTTACCACTTGCAAAGAGAGTCTTTCAATAAATCATAAGAGTGTATTTGCACATGTTTGGTTTCTGCATAATCCATATGGTTTATTATTATATGATTCATCGCATTAATAACCTGCTAATACTCAGTGAATAAGTAATTTTCTTCTTTGTAAGATTCAGAATAAAGGCAGGGTACTTTGATATGCTGTTTTTAGTTTTGTTTGTAACAACAGTTTTTTGATTTTGCTTACTTTGCTTGCTTACATCTTACTAATATAGGGTTTTTTTGTGTGTTTTTTCTTTATTGTTGAGACCATTACAGATGCCCCTCTTTTAACCCCACTGATCCCCTCCACCCCACATCTATCCCATCCCCAGGCCCTCCCCATACCAATGTCCCCATCCCCTAAAGACTCCACCAAAAACTACTAGATTTAATAAATGAATTTGGCACTGTAGCAGGATACAAAATTAACACCCATAAATCCATGGCATTTTTATACACCAATAGTGATTTCACAGAAAGGGAAACTAAAAAAGCAATTACATTTAACATTGCAACAAAAAACTAAGATATTTAGTAATAGACCTAACCAAGGAAGTAAAAAACCTGTACCCGGAAAACTACAGGATGTTGCAAAAAGAGATAGAATATATAAACAACTGGAAGAATATACCGTGTTTACGGATTGGTAGAATTAAGCAAGGAGCTGTGGGATGCACTTCAGAGCAAAAGCGGGGGATGGGAGTCTGGGTGGAGATTAATCAAAGAGCTTAGATGCATATATGCATGACCCATGGACACAGACAATAGTGTGGAGATCAATGGGGGCAAAGAGGAGGACATCTGTAATACTTTCAACAATAAATATAAATTTTAAAAAAAGATATCTATAAAAATATAGAATAGGAAAGTTGGTTCTTTGAAAATATTTTTTAAATTAGCTAACCTTTTCTAGACTGACCAATAAAAAACAGAGAAGACTCAAATTACTAAAATCTGTTATGAAAGAAGGGACATTACTACTGGCCTTATGGAACTAAGTATGATAACAGAACTCTATATAATTATATGTCAGCAATTAGATGATACAGTTGAAATGGACAAATACCTATAAAAATTCAAATTTAGAGAAATAGAGACTCTAAATTATAGCTAGTAGATTGAATCAGAATCTACACTTTGAGCAACCACAAAAAGCTCAGGACCAGATGGCCCCACTGGTGAATTCTACAAAATGATTAAAGAATTAATAATATTAATCCTATCAAATCTTCCAATATTAAGTCTTTCAGTTCCCAACAATATAATGTCTTTCCACTTATTCATTCACCTTTAATTTCTTACAATAGTGTTTTGTAGTTTGTAGTGGAATGGTATTTCATTTCCTTGGTTCAGTCTAAGTATATTTATTCTTTGTGGTGCAACTGTAAATGCAATTGTTTTGTTAATAAACCCATATATCTATTGTCAGTTTTTTTTCACAAGGCTGCCAAGACCATTAATGGGGGGGAAAATAGTCATTTTAGCAAATGGTGCTGAAACAACTGGAAAGGCACATGCAAAAGATTCAAGTTTGACCCATATCACATACCACATATAAAAATTAGAATGGACCAAAGATTTAAATGTAAGTTTTTATAAAAACTATAAAACAGAAGGAAATGTAGATGTAAATCTTTTTGGTCTTATATTAAGCAATCAATTTTCATCTTTTATACAATATGGGTTTAAAAATAAACATATAAGTAAAAAGCAGAATCACATAATGTTAAAAACTTGGCAGCAAGTCAGTTTTCATATTTAGTTAAATACGCTGCTCAAAATATACATAGGCCTACATATGGTTATTTGGAGGCTACAATTGTATAAAACATGACTAGCTTGAAAATGCATATTTATATCTCCTCAGACAGAATGTGCTTTTGGAGATAGATAATTATGTATTTCTACAATTGATTCTTATTCAAGATTTTTAAGTTCTCATTAAGTACTTGAGCACCCTTATAACCATTATTTTGAACTCTATTTCTGCTAAATTGCCTGCCTCCATTTCACTTAGTTCTTTTTCTGGCCTTTTCTCCTTTTGTTTTTTTGGGTGTTCTTTCTTTGTCTCCCCACTTTATTGTGCCAGTTGTCCAGTGGTACCAGGTCAAGGCTGCAGGCCATGAACAGGGCCTCGTTTCTAGTAGTCCCAGAGCACCAGGTCAGTCAGCCAGGTCCTGATCACAGGCAAGTGTGTCTGGGAGGCATTGGGTCATGATGACAGGGCCAGGTGCACTACTATCAAGGCAGGCAGGCTGGTTGTGCTGTGTCAAGGAGTCAAGAAGGCAGGCATGCAGGGAAGCTTGGGGCGGGGAGGGGTCTTGTCATGGAGGTATGGCAGGCCGTGGGTGCCCATCAAGGAGGTGGGCCAGGAAGGCAGGCCTTTTACATATATTTTTAAACACCGTCCTATAGGCAATACTTAATGGTAAGCAAACCCAATAACTGAAATAAAATTATTCTCAACATGGCTGAGTAGGGAGTATTCCTAGAAACATCGTCTTACATGTGTATTTAGACACTTGTCTGTATGCATGACATAATGATCAGCACATACAGTCTCAAAAATAACACTCTTCCCAATAGGCTGTGCAAGAATATTTTTGAAACATCTTTTTCACATGTGTTCAAGCATCTGTATTCAAGCACATATCTACATGTGTTACAGAAAGGTTAGGACATCCACTTACTGAAATGTTATTTTTCTATTCTACATTTTCTCTATGTCTGTTATAATTTTATTTCCTTCTTGCTTTGTTTTGCTCTTCTCTTTCAATTTTTTACAGTGTAAGATGTTAACATTTCTTTTTCTTTAATGTGGGCTATAAACTTCCCTCTGAGCAGTTTTTGCTGCATAATGTAAGAATCGGTATGCTGTTTCACCCCAACTTTCCTTCATCTCAGTTTTCTCTAATTTCCTCTGTGATTTCTTCTTTAACTCACTGGCTATTTAAGAGTGTTTTACTTTATTTCCACATATTTATGCATTCTCAAATTTTCTTTTTTTTATTGATCTCTCATTTCATCTTTGTGGTTGGAGAATATAACTGGTATACTTTTAATCTTTTTAAATTTATTGAGAATTGGATTGTAGGCTAATATGATCTATCTTTGAGAATAAAACACATGCACTTGAGAGGAATATGTACTCTGCTATTGTTGGGTGGAGTGTTCTGTAGACATCTATTAATTCTAGCTAGTTTATAGTGTTACCCAAGCGTTCTATTTCTTTGCTATTGTTTTGTTTATTCTAGTTACTAATATCCATTCACTTCAGTCCCAAGGACTCCCTTTAACATTCACAAAAAGTCTAATCATTTTTATCTGGGAATGCCTTAATTTCACTTATAATTTCACAGGCAGTTTTGCTGGATACAGAATTCTAAGTTAACGGTTGTTTTTCCAACACTTTGAATGTATCATCCAATGTCTCCTGGCCTCTATGGTTTCTAATGGTAAATCGGGTGTTAATCTTATTGAGATCATACATGATGGTTACCTCTCTTGCTGTTTTTCAAGATTCCCTCTTAGTCTTTGGCTTTTGATGTGTATCAGTGTGTATCTCTTTGAGTTTATCCTATTTGCAGTTTGGTGAACTTTTTGAATATATACATTCATGTTTTTTAATGATATTTGGAAAGGTTCCTCTTCATATTTCTTCAAATATTCTTTGGCCTCTTTCTTCCTCTGTTTTCCTTTGGAGGCTCCCACTGTGTGTATATTGTTGATAATATCCCACAGGTTCTAGGGGATCTGTTCATTTTCTTTCCCTACTTTTTCTTCTGTTCCACAAACTCGGTAATTGCAATGATCTACCTTCAAGTTTGCTGATTCTTTTTCTGGCCTTCAAGAAACTGCTGCTGCGCTCCTATAGCGAATTTTTGAAATTTTCAACTTGAACCTTCACTTGTTCAAGTTAAGGCCCAGAGGAAGAAACAGGAGAAAGTTCAACCAGTTTTTTGCCTTTTCTCTCTGAAGAAAAGGCTAGCATGCATTAATTAAGGTTATACTTATGCCACATCAGCACAGTTCAAAATCCAAACTATGAAGTATATGGCAAATAAAAGTGTTATACTAATGGATTAACACTTATAATCTCTTACTTTGACTTAGCTTTTAAGATCATATTGATAACCAATGGAAAATTGATGTGGAGAATGTGGTATCTACATTTGACCCTATACTGTACTTTCTTTTCTGTTAGTACATTTTCTAAAAGAATTTTAATAAAATGTATAAAAATACTGCAATGATCACTGCTCTAGAAATAGTTTATTTTATTTGAGAAAACTGGGTAAAAGGTCAAATATATTTTTTTCTTAGATAACAGAGGAATTCACTGATAAGGTAGCAATCTTTTTTCTCAGTAAAAATAAATTATATAAAATTAAAGCTCTTGATTTACATCATACTTTGTTTTCTATCTTTTATATATCACACAGTCATTGAAGGAAAAAGACTAAAAATACAGACTTATAACAAAAGAGATGATATATAATCTTGTTCCATAAATAATTATAAATTTCAGAGAGATGAAGAGGTTATGTCCTTTAAATACTAATTGTTATATATTTTTATATAACAAATTTTTATATAAGTATTAATTTCATTTTACTATTTTTCAAAATATCTTAACCTAGTCAACGTTTTCTTATCCCTGTTTTCTAATTTATAATATGACTTATTTTTGTTGATTTACCAAAAATTAAGATATTTTGCTAATAAGTTATTTTCAAAATCTTACCAACAAAGCAAGGTCACATGAAACACACTGAAATTTATTTCTCAAAAAACCACAGTGACTTTGAATATTACTTATAGGTCAAGTTCTAAAGTGAGAACCCAAATGGTTTTTGGTAAGAGGCAACCATGGAGATAGACATCAATTACTGTCAATTAGCAACTGCTACTCTGGCATTTTTCTTCCATTATTAGAGTAGATCATTATTTCTTTGGTTTGAACACTGGACAAAATTTGTACTTGGTTGAATTTAGAGTTCACATTGTATAACAAGTACCTATCTTTAAATATTAGACTTAAACACAACACAGGATACCTATACAGAATTCAGCCCACGGCATACACAGAGTGGAATCCACCGTTTAAATTATTTCTCTTTCTCTTTACCCCTTTTTGCTGAGTGTATATTTCTGCTCCTCAGTTTAAGTGCACCTACTCACATAAATAATCTTTAAGTACAGAGACATTTGTTAGATCATATCCTCATACTAAACTGAGTTTAATTTTTTATGTATAGTTCATTTAAAACTAATCTTGTAAAAAAAATCCCTCAAACCTCTCATACTAATTTTTTTTCCATATAATTATATTCCAGAATAGAGGGCAAACTGCAGAGCTGGAGAGGTGGCTAGCAGAGAACAGGACATCTCTACATAGAGAGTAGATATAGAGCAACACTAATTCAGGTCAACAAATGTTACTTATTTCCACATTATTGCAACCAAAGAAAGCAATTACTGGGACTTACAATCTTACGATACAAAGAAAACTGTAACCATCAAATTTGAAAGTAAAGATTAACAGACTAAAAAACAAGAAAACCTTCAGTGTTTTAGATGTGCAAGATTTTGCTAACATTCAAATAATATAATCAGGAGAGAAGTGTCTGCACTTGCTGCGGTGACCGGTGTAGAATGCTCTCTGGATCTTTGTATTCATTGACTGGATTCATCACAGCGGCATACACTTCACCATAGGCTCTGCAGACTAATTCTGTAGACTGTTTTATGATCTGTTCTCTATTGGTAAACAAAATGTGAAAACATAATTTAAAAATACTAAGAACTGTAAGAAAACTTCATATTTGAAACAATGCATTCCATTTTCGTAATTATTACATCAATATTAAAAAGTCATTGTACCACTACACAAGTTACTTATACAATTTATTTTAAAAATTGTATTTATTATTTCTTTGTTAAATTTTCCAGATTAGTATGAAGATTTCAGGAAGGCAGGGACTGTGTTTTGTTCACTGCTATATCTTTAGGGATGAAACAGTGCCTGATATATAATGGATTACTAAACAAGAAACAGAAACTGTGACCCACCATCAATGTATTGATTTTGCAAACAACTGATAACACTAAAGAGGCTTATAATTATTCAAATTTATTAACACTTCAAATCTCAGAATAACTTACAATATATTGCTTTTTCACTTATACAAACAGATCTTGTTTTATTGTTTTATTTCATTGCACTTCACAGATGTTGCATTTTTTTAAAAATGAAGGCAAAACCGACTCACTTTATTGCGATTCTCTTATCATTGCAGTGGTCTATAACTGAACCTGCAATATGTCCAAGGTACCTGTAGCTCCTACACTAATAACCACATCTCCTAGAGTTCACATCTGTTTAAATTACCAGGCTAAAATAATCTGACACTTGCCTATAACAAATCACAGCATTTTCACAAATATGCATTTCTACACAAGCACATAAAATAATAGAAATAGCTTTAAACAAACTAAAGCAAATTTTTTGGAATTTATCTTCATTGTTGAAAGTATTACAGATGTCCCCCTTTTCCCCCCATTGATCCTCTCTATCGGGCATCTGCCCAACCCTCCCCCCACCCCCGCCTTCTCCACACTATTGTCTATGTCCATGGGTTATGCAAATATGCATATAAGTTCTTTGATTTCTCTCCCCACTCCTACTCCCCCACCCCCACTCCTGCCTTCTGAGATTAGTCAGTCTGTTCCATGCGTCTATGTCTCTATCAGTTTGTTCATCAGTTTATTTGGTTCATTAGATTCCCCAAATGAGTGAGATCATGTGGTACTTGTCTTTCTCAGACTGGCTTATCACTTAGCATAATCCTTTCCAGGTCCATCCATGCTGTCCCAAAGGGTAAGAGACCCTTCTTTTTTTACAGCTGCATAGTATTCCATGGGGTAAATGTACCACAGCTTTTTTATCCACTCATCTACTGATGGGCATTTGGGCTGTTTCCAGATCTTAGCTATTATAAATTGCACTTCTATGAACATAGGGGTACATAAACTCTTTCTGATTGGTGGTTCAAGTTTCTAAAGCAACTGTTTTTAAAAATGTATCTGGCCAGAAAAAAATACTATTGGGTTTATTAAATCAGTATCTACTCTCTCCAAGTTTTCATGACATTTACTTATCATCCCCAGCTACTTCTATTTATGTATCATTCTACTCAGTGATGAAAAGACTAACACTTTTTTTTCCTCATTTTTGTAACTAAATTAAAAATGTGTCTTTAGAGCTTTACTCCTAAACCTACTTTTCTTGCTATGTTTCTTATTTCTGTCAATGGCAGAACCATGTTCCATCATGTCAGTTTGGACTCTAATGAATTCTCACCTGGAGTATGCAAAAAACTCCTATCTGGTTTTTCCCCTTCTAATATTATCAACATTAAATTTATCGTAAGCACTTCTGTTAATCTTTCTAAAGCATACCTTTTATCATTGCTCACTTTACCCAGCAACTTCCTTCAAGGAGCTTTAACAGCTTATTCTGGTTTCAGAGAAGTCAAAATGCCTTACCCTATCATTCAAAATCCTGTAAAATACCTTCTATATCACTACTGTAATTCCACAGTTCAATGCAGTTCCTGAATGTCCCCTCTGCCTTGTTCTTGCTGACCTCAATTCCTTTGCTCATGTTCTTTCATTTGCCTGGAATGCCTACCTCTCAACCACCTTTAAATGGCTTTAATTCGCAGTAAAAACGTACTCTCTACAAAGTCTTCCCTGATCCCGTTAGAAATAATTACTCCATTTTTGGAATGTCCACAAACAAAAGAATACATTTGTAAGACTCTTGGTGAGTTGAGGCAAATTAACGTTTCCCCAAAAGCTTCCAAAATGAGTAGGAAAAATGAAAATATCCTGAGTAAAATCTCTGAGCAGAGTGGAGTAATGCTACTGGTTATACTACCCTTTTGTTGGAAGGGAAGATGGTAGAAACCAGTTTGGACACCTACTTCACCAGAAGAAATAGTTTTTGATCTATAGATTGGTGATCATTCATCTAATTAATTAAGCTTAACAATGAGTGAACCAAGAAGATGCAAAATATTTTTTCCCCGAAATGAAGTACCTGAAAAACACTATAACCTGGTATTTTTTAAATGTGTGAAATATAGGATATATTTGATACTCATTTTGCAGCAAGTCAAATAAGATATTTTAGATACAGCATTTGGTTCTTTACTTAAAGCAATTAAGACAAATCTTAGGGGATATGTACAGTATTTATTACTTATACTTCATACTCTAAATTCTATGCTCACTCTAAACACAGTGTATATTTAAACATATATATAAAAACAAAAAAGTAAGGTTATTCCTTCTCATAAGTTTAAAATCAGAACAAGGTACAATAATGAATATCATATATAATTTTTAAAACTGGTAAATGAAGAATTATTGAATATTTTGAAGTAATAAATTTTAAGTTTTACCTTCAAGTCCAAATGATGAAAAATTTTAAATTTACTTATAATTCAGGGCACATATCTATTTATAAATTAAACTAGATTACAAATGTCTAAAATGCATAATGCAGCTAAAAAAATCATTATAAATCTGCAATGGAGAAAAACCAGAACAAAGCAATATTACTAAGGCACAAATAATTAAATAAAATCAAGCCAATAAAATTAAGTAAGAATATAATTTTAAATGTTGGTGTTTGATGGTACAGGGCCTCTTCATTCTGCTCCTCAGTTTAAGAAGTTACCAAGATAGGGAAGGGATTAAAAAATGAACATGGACTGTGCTGAAGATGATGATACCAAAGCTCATGGAAAAAAAGATCTTTCACATGGTGGGAAGAAAAAAGAGGAGTAAGAATTGTTCCACCTGGGCTGTTAGCTACTAAAGCCAATAGGATAGAATGTAATGGAAAGGCAGTTTCTCCAAAAAAAAATCTGAGTCAAATCCAAACTGTGCAGACCAAGAACTGTAACTGATAGTGATTCCTTATCTCTGGACAAATGTAAAAGCTTATTTATCACTACTAAATCTAAGCACAGGTGCATGCACTCATGCTCATTAATTTTTTCTAATGGTATAAACGGATATTGGAGGACATTACTGTCAGACCTTCTAGCTGAAGCTCTGCCACTTACTGCAGCCTTGAACAAGTAATTTAACCTTTCCAGGACTAATTTCACCATTGCAAACCAAAATATTAAACTCAATAATCTTTACAAGGTACTTTCAGCTTTTAAATTATACCATTCCACTGAGAGTTAAAAGCATTTTATTAACTGCTTTCTAAAAAAACTCTATGTACCTATTTATACACATACATAGGTATATACATACACACACACAAATTATATTGGGGAAATGGGTTCCCTAAATAATGATTTATAAACATATCTATTATTTGTATATGAATGGGTGGTATTTCTGAAGTACTAAAAGTTTTATTTTCTTGCCATTTTACTATCCCATTTTTATTTATAGTGATATTTTGTAAATTCATCCTTTATTTTAAAAGGTGTTTGTATATCTATTTGTCTGCCTGCCTGTCTCCTTGGCCTGGTGAACATGAGTTCACCCTCCATGTGTCCCTCCAGCCTTTCTACATGGTGTCTTACCGAACCTCTGATCCTGCAGGTGCCCCATCTCTCAATTTCACGGACTCCTGTGTAGCAACTTAATAGAGGACTGAGGTTGACTTGGGTGACTATTCTGTTTGTCGCCAGATTATAAGCTCTTTGCAGTTATGCCTGCCTGCCTACCTGCTTGCCTGGTGTCTTGGCCCAAATTATTCTCTAATATCATATATGAAATACAAAGTCTAAAGTAATGAAAAATCATTATAGTGACAAATAATCAATGTGCAAAATGCAAAAGTTTCAAGTATTTTATAACTAAAAACAAAATGACCAACAAATTATTTCATGCTTCTGAACACTTGTAATGTCCTTATCCACTGATCACCTCATGAACAAGAAGAAAAAAGCAGTATTTTCTTTTCAGTCATCTATGCTGAGCACTCATTCTAGCATGGGCATCCACCTCAGATTTTTAAAAACTGATTTCAGAGACAGGAAGGGAGAAGCAGAGAGAGATAAAACATCAATGATGAGTCATTGATTGGCTGCCTCCTGCACTCGCCCTACTGGGGAACAAGCCTGAAGCCAGGGCATTTGCCCTGACCAGGAATTGAACCTCGACTGCCTAGATCATAGGTCGATGCTCAACCACTGAGCCACACCGGCCGGGCTCCACCTCAGATTTTTAATTACATACTGTATTTTGTTCAAGCCCGGAAGCTGATGAAGGGAGAATACTTTTAGAATTGTCTCTGTAGGTTAAAATTCTAAAAATAAGTCTTGTTTTTCTGATATGAAAAAAGGTCAGGTGAAAAGGAAAATCTTTTATTTGAATGTAAGATCACTAACTTTCTTTACTACCATGAAATTCTCATAGTTAATAACTTAAGTGGTACCCTACTGGCTTTTGGACAGTTTCATAATCCTCTCAGTGCAAATATAACTTTCAAACAATTAAAAATATGAATCATACAAATAAAGAATGTAAAAAATTTAATAACTTGTGCCCAGCTGGTGTGGCTCAGTAGCTGAGCGTCTACCCAGGAACCAAGAGGTCACTGGTTCGATTCCCAGTCAGGAGACAGCTGATGGATGTTTTTCTCTCACTGATGTTTCTATCTTTCTATTCCTCTTTTTTTCTCTCTCTAAAAATCAATAAAAACATATTTTTTTTTTAAATTAATA